CACACTGAATTACTGAACAATATTTCAGAAGTAACCGTTGACATTCGATTGCTGAAGGCCCAGTACCGAAACTTTCTTGGGTGTAGAAAGGGGCAAACATACAACACAATTATTAACAATGGTCTTAGCAAAATGCTTGGTTAACAAATCATTTTATTACCAAACAAGTCAAGTGAGAAGCCAAGAATCAGCAAGCTTAACGATGGAATCGACCACCGTACTATTCTTTTACCATGCTCCTGCAGTAAAAAAAAGTAGCAATTGAAAGTTAAATTGAATATATACAATGTCTCCCATAGAAAGAGCAAAAAAATTCAGAATGAGACATTTTGAAACTCAACTTTGGCTCTGGGTATATATATATATATACCTTGAAGTGCACAATGATGTGGCCAATCTGGAGGCCAATCAAGCAGGTCACAATTGCCATCACGGAACTACAAATTGTAAAGACATAGTTTAGGACTACAGGAAGTGATATTAGAAAGTAGCTAGCTAGACAAGTGTAAGGCACTAATTACCTGAGCAGGCCCTCAGGATCAAAGGGGGCTTCACACCATGTTGGAGCATCTGATGGAAGCGGCCCATTTCGAGGGGAGTTGATGCTGCATTGCTATAATTACTCAAAAAAGTAGATATTGTAGACTGTTAGTTCTCATTTCTCAACAAACTTGAACATTTAAACAACAGTTTTAGAAATTCCAGGATCAAATAGGAACAGTGAAGGTTCATTCATGGATGTGAACTTCTAGGCCACATATATTTCAGCAACTGAATGTTTTTCATACCTCTGTTTTGAGATAAACAGGGTGTGTGTAGAGATGTTGGATTCCAAGAACACGTCGATCGATCATGCTGACGGCATTGCAGCCAGGCCCTGTATCACCCCTCACCGCACATTTCACCTGGATGCAGCAATATATAGGTCATAAACAGAACAAAGAACATCTTGAAACAAGCTCTCTCTCTCTCTCTCTCTCTCTCTCTCTCTATATATATATATATATATATATATATATATATATATATATAAGGATCTGAAATTTTTATTGACATATTTATTAATTTATAATTACCATAAACTGCTTCAAGGTGGTATCTGGAGACGTGACCATATATTCCCAGTCTGGCACATACATGCCATACAAAAGCGCCATGTAGGTGACTGTGAGAACCAAACCCACAAACCTTTGCAAAAGTAAGAGAAAATAATATAACAAACAGTGACGCAATGTAAAAACTGTAATTCTCAACAACTAGCTATAATTTACTATTATTTCAAGTGACTGTTGATGTTGTAGCATGCTTACAGCTGATGACGGTATCTTCTGATCAAGGCATAGCCGCCGGCTCCATTGTCATCACTTGCACCACCTCGTCGTAGCCATATTTCGCATAGTGACACTGCAAAGTAGGCTATTGCAATTCTCTACAACAAGTGGACAATTTTAATTTGAAATTTTGGATGCTTGCTGGATGGATTGGAGATACATATATGCAGCCTTAGTTCCAGCATAATATATGATCTTTTAGAAATGAAAAAAAAAACGGATGTGTGTAGACTCCTAGAATGTGGGTGACAAATAGATAGAACTAGTGATACCTGAAGAATGCCCATTAACCGTATTTTGCGAAGATCGACTCCATAGCTAAGATCGTGGATGGTGTGGAAGTAGCCACCTTGAATAGAAAAGGTCAAGTTATATTGTTATTTCCAATGTTTTTGCTAGATTGAAAGATGCATACATATTGAACAAATCATCGATCGAGACTAATCAACCGAATGAAGAAATACTAAGAACCACGCCAATGTTATACCTTGCAGTAGCAGACCTAGAAGGAAGAGCTTTGAAGCCCGGATCAGAGCCTTCTTGGTTGCCAGGGTTTTGTTTGGCACTCTCTATACAAAATGAACTGCTTACATGAGAATCTTTTTTCAACATATATACAAGCTATAAACAAAAAAAAAACAAAGTATACGGTAATTATGTCTTTTCTATTCAACATCATATATATAATGTTTGCATTGGAATTTTGTTCAACTACCTTGTATGCAAAGGCCAATGAGACTCCAACAATGAAGAGGAAGAAGGGGAACACAAAGTCTGCTAGTGTGACGCCGTCCCACGGAGAGTGGCTGAAGGCTGGGACAAGGCCACCAACATCGTCCACAAGTATCATAAGCTGTCATATTTGCAAGGTAGGTAGCCATATATAGTTAAGTATATACTGAGAGAGCTTTTTTGTCAACGAAATATCTAAATGACGATTAAAATAATGAAACTGTATTATGTTTGTATCATATTCTCGCTACTACTTGGAAACTTCTAATTCGAGACACTAAAACACTGTAATATTTTTGTAAAGGTAGAGCATTTACTACATCATATCATTATTTCATTATGCCACAGATGTAGGAATTGGTAATTTGAATGACGACCTTTTCTGAACGAATGATGACTTTGAGTAATGAATTTGTCTTTTTTTTTCAGGCCTTCTGTGTTGATCGAAACGTACTTGAAATGCCAGGCAATAAGGCACACAGAGAGATGACACGGAGACTCAAAGCTCCATTGGACTCTGGGTGTTGTCTCTTATCACTTGGTGCGGGGGACCAGGGCCTCTTTGTTTCCATGGAAAATTGGAAATGGACTGAATTAGAAAATAATATCTGAGTTCTTCAGGCCAGTCAATGAACTCCCTCTGCCTTTAGCTATTGATCGAGTGACGCATCTTGTTGATCTGTTTACGTGTGTGGATAGATGTATTTTCTTCGGTTCTTTAAAAAAAAATTGTATCACATCACACGTTGTTGATCACTCAACGTGCCTTGAGCTACAGGTTGATCGTTTAGCCAGGAACTGCCCGCGACGTACGCTACAAAAGACTACGACCCTACCGGACGATACATGTATTTTCTTCGGTTCTTTAAAAAAAAAATTGTATCACATCACACGTTGTTGATCACTCAACGTGCCTTGAGCTACAGGTTGATCGTTTAGCCAGGAACTGCCCGCGACGTACGCTACAAAAGACTACGACCCTACCGGGACGACACAAGGCCACGTATTTCGTAGACGTGTTGACGGGAGAGCGACATGCCCCAAGCCAAAGAGACAAGAGAAATTAACATCACCTACATATATTTCTAGCTAGTTCACAACACATGTCTATCAGTAGTCGTCGCCATATCGTGGGTATGTATGTGTCCGTGAAATTCCACACAGGTGAGACAGATAAAACTTAACAGGGAAGTATATATAGTTTGTGACCATGGAAAAATCCCTCCGAAAATGATATTTTCATCTATACGACACAATCATTTTTTTATGCATGGAACATAATCAAGAAAAAGCCTGGAATACGAAGCTCAGCTTTAATTTAGCTATTGAGCGACGTACTGGCCTGGGCTCATCTGAAATGTTCTTTTGTTTTACGCGTGTCGATGTATTTGCTTCGCATTTTATATCACATCACACGTTGTTGATCACTCAAAGACGCCTGTTACTTTATTTATTCACTTCTATATCTTAGGTGCCGGCAGATGTTTTGTCGTTGTTCAGGTAATTAACATGTAATCTTGTCATTGTTTTGGCTATATATATAGAAATAAAAATGTAATAAATTGTCTCCTTGTGAGTGTTATCCTTTTAATTGTACTAGCTCATCATTGTGTGAGATTATTGTGGGCTGAGAATTCTATAAATTCAGGCATCTGAAATGAAATAATATAACAACTCCCTTATTTACTTACTAATATTATTTACTCAGGACACAAACCGTGGCATCATCAGGTCGGTCGTTTAGGAGTTGCTCATCCACAACGCAACAAAAAAAAACCAAAACACCGGACGACACACGGCCATGCATTTCGCAGACATGTTGACGACAACGACATGGCCCAAAGATATAATTGAAACTACTCCTCACCACCTCCGTTCGTTATTATAAGGGTCTATTTGAATCCACTTATACTAATAGTCAGCTAGCTAATAGCTATTAACTATTAGCTAACTAATCCACCTACTAATAAGTTACTAATAGATGGTCGGCATCTAGTAGGAGCCATAAATATGCTAGTGGAACTAATAGTTAGCTAGTCTATTTGGATCCATTAGTGCTAATTTTCGCTGCAAACTAGTAGTAGCAGTGGATCCAACCATGCCTTTAAGACCGTATATGTCTGTTCACAACACATGCATGTCTATCAGTAGTCATTGGGCAATTATATAAGTGTTTGCGTGATTCCACTGGTGGGAGACAAATTTATCAAGGAAGCAGTATACATAAACCCTATTTGGATCTATAGAGCTAATAGTTATTGCTAATAATTAGCTCATTTGGATCCAAACATGTCCAGCTAATTATTAGCTAATACCTAACTAACAACTATATCACTAGTTGAGCCAAACCAACTAATAGCAGCTCAGCTAATGGATCCAAACAGTGCCATAGCTATGAGGCTGTTGCGGTGGAAAAATCCCTAGATAAAAATAAAGGTATTTTTTAGATTAAAAATAATAGTATTTCTTCACGTAGTATATGTATCTTCGTCAGCTAGCTTAATATATGTGCAAAACTCAACGACCAACTGGACTGGTGCAAAAACCCGGAGAGGCCGTACTAGTGGCTGCCGGCCAGGATCGCGGCCGTCCATTTTCTGATAGCGCAAACGGTTCCACCGTTGCTTCTGTTGCAACAAGCCAAAAACTAACGGGCAAGCGCCTTGTCTGCAAATATATGTATGTTATTCACTGTTGTTTGTGTGATGGAGAAGTCAGGCGGGCACTCACCGCCGCAGGTTCCTTATCTCGCTGTTTGTCGTCTCTGGCCTTGGTCCTCTCCTCGACGACCCATACCAATCCATCCATGGCCACTATTTATCAGTGTTCGTACGTGCACGCGTGTATGCATGCAGTTCTATGAACGAGAGTAGGAACAGGAACGTAGTTAAATGAATGCTAGTGCGAGGGAGGGTGCCTGCCGAGCTTATGACTGACCACGACGGTGATGCCTCTGAAGACATCCAGCGAGACCAGGCGCTGCTCCCTCGGCGGCCTTTGTGTCTCCGCCGCCGCCGTCGTCGTCGGAGCCGGCATGCTCGCCCACCCGCCGCCGGCCTCGATGTCTCGGCGGCGGCCCTCGCCGTCATTGGCTGGGTTCGTTGCCGAGCCGCCGTTGACGCCGGCGGGGAAGTCGACGCTCTTCGCCGCTGCCATGGACGGCGCTCTAGCTAGCAGCGCGCGCGAGCAATATAATGCAGTGCACTCACGGAGTCGCAGTTGACTATAGCTAATGGTAATGCAGGGGCGAGCAGCGCCTCACACCTGTGCCGCGTATATTTATACAGGGCAGTGCGCTGCGCTGCAGCCAGGAGTAAGCTGCGGGTAAAGAAATAAGGGCCGGCCAGCTGACGAGCCTTCGCTGTACCGTCGCCATCTGCAAATCCGTCACGTACACGGCCATCACCAGCCAATATAATCTGTCAAGTTGACGACGTACGATTTCCACATTGAGCAGTCAAGGGTTCCATGCAAAAGGGCAGCTGAATCGGCCCACCCTCGTGGGCCACACAGCCCACACTTCACTAAAAGGAAAGTGGTGATATCATTTGGTCACAGACACCTAAACAATCGTCATAGTTAATGTAACACCCTAAAATTTATACTTTTAAAAATAGGGTTAAAATGATTAATTTAGGAATTTTTGTGCTCATAAAATATAGGAAAATAAATTTTTTTATTAAATTAAAATTCATCATAAGGTAGCAACATGTTTGTGCATTCATGCTGTTGCATTTGATTCTTGGAGATGAGTGGTTTTGACTAAAACTCAAAAGGATTTAAAATGCTTTAGAAAATAGCTTTGAAGTAAAAGAAAAGAAAATTTAAAAATAAAAGAATTTAAAAAGTTGTAAAAATTAATTTTGGGAAGGCTTACTAAAATTCCTCATTTTTACTTGAGATGAAAAAGTGTATTGGAAACTCTATTTGAATTTGATTTGGTTTGTATTTGAATTTGGTTTTGAAAATGAAATAGGAATTTTTTTTAGAAAAAAGGAAAACTCACTCTCTCCACTGCTCCGGTCTGTTCAGCTCCGCGCAGCCTAGCCCCACTTCTTCCGCTTGCAGCCCAGCAGCAGCGCCGGCCCGCTCTTTCCCCTCCGCATGGCCCAGCAAGCAGGCAGCCCAGTTCCCCGTCACGCCGCGCGTCTCTTCTCTCCTTCCTTTCGCTGACAGCCGGGCCCCACCTGTCAGGCGCACTGTTTCTCTTCCTCCGAGCCGTATCCGCCTCGGGCACGACTGCCGTCGTCGCCTCCGACTCTGCGCCAGCCACGCCTCTCCTTGCCGTGCCTCCCAAGGCTCCTCGACCTTAAATAGCGGATGCCCGTGCCCTCCGCTTCCAATCCCTAGCTCGAGAGCCGTAGCCACCCTCGCCGAGCCACCGTGACCTAGCGCCACCACCAACGCCGTCCGCCTCGCCGCGTGCCACGCCATCTTCGTCCGCTCCACACCTTGCTAAGGTATCCGAACGAGTTCGCCGTCGTCTCCTCTAGCTCTCTGTGCTCTTTCTTCGTTCAATGGTGGTCTGTAGGCCGAATTCGACAAGCACCGCCCATGGAGCCGCCGTGGACCTCGCCGTCGACCCATCGCCGGCTGGCCAGTCTTCTCTTCCCCGTCCCTGTCTAATCTCAGCCCCCTATCCTAGATCCAATGGCCATTAGAAGTCGATACCCCTTCGGCGGGAACAATTGCTAAAGAGCCCCTTCAGTTTTTTGTTTTCAAACACGCGGTCCAAAGCGCAATCACATATTATGTTTTCTTCTTTGGAAAGCGTAGTTTCGTCGATTTAGATCCAAAATACGTTTTCACTTATTTACAGTTTTGCCACTAATCTTGTTTTAGCCATAAAATTTCTGTTTTAACTCCGATTTGACCCGTTCAACTTACGTTAGATTCATAATTTCATAATCTACATGTTCATACTGTTAAATATGTTTTCAACTTTTAAAATTGGAGGTTAGATTTAATCTATTATTTTATTAAAGAAAATCTTATTTAATTCATATCTTCTACGTTTTAGCTCCGAAGTGACCCGTTCAAGTTGTGCTAGATTCATTACAACGAGATCTACGTGTTAGTGACAATGTTTATCATGTCACTAATACTGAAATTTCATAGTTTAACTTCTAATTTGGATAATAATTATGCAACTAGATTTTATAAATAAAATATGACTTGTTTTATTTTAGTTTTATAATTCAAATCGAAATTTGACTTAATTCAATTTATATTATTTATAAAATATCTTATATATATGAATTTATATTGTTAAAATAAATGAAGCCTATAGTTTTCTTTTTAAAACAAATCTTTTGGTAGTTGTATCTTTTTCATCGTAGCTCCGGTTAGTGTGCTTTTCGCGTCTGTGTGTTCGTAGCGAGACGTAGATTCACTTTACAAACTTTTCATCTTGATTTTATGTTTGGTGTACTGTTCTAATTTAGATCTATTGCTTGCTTCGTGTATGATTGCATGGATGCTTGTGTGGTGCTTTATGATCCTGTCCAGTCGGTGAGTTATATGTGGTGAATCAAGAAGCAGAACTTTAAAGTTTTGGACTTGAAGAAGGATCTAAGTTTAAGGCAAGTATAACATGGGATCTTCCTTGTTGTCCTATACACCTTTAATCAATTAATTCATGCTACATGTGTCTACCTTGATTACCACTAAGGATTTCCTAGTACTTTGACCTTATGCTTTGATACCTATGGGGTATTGCTTTGGGTAGTATGATGCTAGTGCTCAACTACAACTATGATCTTGTAACTTGACTAATGGTATATGCAATAAACATTAAAAGATGCTTTTTAGCAACATGGAACAAGGGGCTAGAGCATCGGGCTGTTTTTATGGTGATCTAGATTCCTCTCCCTAAGGACTTATCTGTAAGTATTCATCCGAGACTTATAGTACAAGCATGAGGACTACATGGCTCTAGTCTTAGTCTAGTACCTTGCTCTTTCTAGTTCGTAGCAGTCTACCGAAAAGGCAAGAGGGGCATACCAGGCTAGGTATGGGCCTCATCCCCAAGGTGTGTACTATGCTGTGTGTATAAGTGCCACTTCTAAAGATGACTTCATAACACTTGGGAGATGGAATCCATGTCAGGGTGTGGAATGTGTCCTTATACAAGAAGAAAAAGTGATATCTTGTTTATTAAGTCAACTAAGGAAGCGTGAGTTGAGCTACCTAACATGTTATCTGGAGTTATCCATTGTGGAGCATGTAAGTAATATCTTCTTGGAAGAAAAAGTGACATCTAGGAGGATCACAAGAATTTACAGGACATCTTCACTAAGTTGGTCTTGAGCTTGTGATATCCTCGTTGGAATGAGATTGATTATGACTTGGAAAAGTGCTATCACTTTGAGAAGCGAAGTCATGGCCGATGCCTTAGCAACGGAGAATTGTGCTAAGAAGATTCGGGTGACACCAAGGGCTAAGAATTGAATTCCAAGTTCGAGTAACTTGGCCAGAATCATTAATGTTTTGAAGAATGGTGGTAAATTCTCCTTCTGACCAAGAGATTCGTAAGGTTTTGTTAGAAGGTGAATATTTTAAGAAAAACAATTGATATTATGGACTAAAAAGGAAAGGTGGCCTAGTGATTGGAGTTACCTGAGTATTGTTTGAAGTATTTGCCAAAATTTTGGAATTAGTTTGGCAAGTTACTTGGAATAAGATTCACAGATATGCAAAGTAAAGTGGAATCCTTGTCAAGATGATGGAACTACACGAGGAACTAAAGAAGAATCCAAAGACGGAGTATCCCTATCTCCTAGTTGACGTCTTCCGAATCTTGGGGATGAGATTCATCTTAAGGGGGTAGAATTGTAACACCCTAAAATTTATACTTTTGAAAATATGGTTAAAATGATTAATTTAGGAATTTTTGTGCTCATGAAATATAAGAAAATAAAATTTTTCATTAAATTAAAATTCATCATAAGGTAGCAACATGTTTGTGCATTCATGCTGTTGCATTTGATTCTTGGAGATGAGTGGTTTTGACTAAAACTCAAAAGGATTTAAAATGCTTTAGAAAATGGCTTTGAAGTAAAAGAAAAGAAAATTTAAAAATAAAAGAATTTAAAAAGTTGTAAAAATTATTTTTGGGAAGTCTTACTAAAATTCCTCATTTTTACTTGAGTTGAAAAAGTGTATTGGAAACTCTATTTCAATTTGACTTGGTTTGTGTTTGAATTTGGTTTTGAAAATGAAATAGGAAAAAAATTGGAAAAAAGAAAACTCACTCCCTCCACTGCTCCGATCCGTTCAGCTCCGCGCAGCCCAGCCCCACTTCTTGCGCTTGTAGCCCAGCAACAGCGCCGGCCCGCTCTTTCCCCTCCACATGGCCTAGCAAGCAGGCAGCCCAGTTCCCAACACAATATGCAACTAGATTTTATAAATAAAATATGACTTATTTTATTTTAGTTTTATAATTCAAATATGAATTTGACTTAATTCAATTTATATTATTTATCAAATATCTTATATATATGAATTTATATAGTTAAAATAAATGAAGCCTATAGTTTTCTTTTTAAAACAAATCTTTCGGTAGTTGTATCTTTTTCATCGTAACTTCGATTAGTGTGCTTTTCGTATTTGGTGTACTGTTCTAATGTAGATCTATTGCTTGTTTCGTGTATGATTGCATGGATGCTTGTGTGGTGCTTTATTATCCTGTCCAATCGGTGAGTTATACGTGGTGAATCAAGAAGCAGATCTTTGAAGTTTTGGACTTGAAGAAGGATCTAAGTTTAAGGCAAATATAGCATGGGATCTTCATTGTTGTCCTATACACCTTTAATCATTTAATTCATGCTGCATGTGTCTAACTTGATTACCACTAAGGATTTCCTAGTACTTTGACCTTATGCCTTGATACCTATGGGGTATTGCATTGGGTAATATGATGCTAGTGCTCAACTACAGCTATGATCTTGTAACTTGACTAATGATATATGCAATAAACATTAAAAGATGCTTTTTAGCAATATGGAACAAGGGGGATAGAGCATTGGACTATTTTTATGGTGCTCTAGATTCCTCTCCCTAAAGACTTATCTGTAAGTAATGATCCGGGACCTACAGTAGAACCATGAGGACTACATGGCTCTGGTCTTAGTCTAGTACCTTGCTCTTTCTAGTTT